CAGCCCCGTAAAAAAATTTAAAAAATCGAAAAAAAAATCTCGTTGCACCTTTACCAACAATTTGCCTCCGCACACGCGCGAGTGTGGGGCTGACAAATTCGAGTCGTGTGAAGGGTGTCCGCTATATGCGCCTAGGTAGGGGGGCAGTGCTGGGCAGGGCCGGCCGGCGATGACAAGGGATTAATCCCGATGCGACGACTCCGCGTTATTTATCGGATACTGCGATTTTGTAATCGTTAGCGGATGTTTGTGCAGTCGCCACCTCACAAACAACATCCGTCATTTCGGCGTGCATGAGAGAGAGAGAGAGAGAGAGAGAGAGAGAGAGAGAGAGAGAGAGAGAGAGAATGATTTGGGTGCATTAGTTACGCGCTCGCGCTGCTGCATGCTTGTTAGTCTATCTATCGCCGACTGCCCTGGGTGCCCTACCGTCAGGCCGGACCGTTTTTAAAGTTGAATAATTTGCGTCATTAATTGGGTTTCATTTCGTGTTGCCTCCCTTGCCCCCTGCAGCACGGCTGCTCCTCCGCAGGCGCCGCGCGCCGCCCCGTATCCCCGCGGCCGCCCCTTGGCGGAACGCGGCCGACAAACGCACAAGATCTGCCTTCTTCCCCATTGTAAATCGTCGGAAATTATTCATAAGTCGGGAGAATGAGCTGAATCGAACCAAATCCTGATTTATGCCGGTGACATCGCCGCGGCCATGCGGGGGCCAGGCCTGCTGGCCCGGCAGGAACCGCACCCGTTTGATGCGGCCCGCCGTGCGGTACGTGACATCCACTGCACTACACACACGGGGCGGACACAGGTACAACGCTGCATTAGAATTATTTTCGCAGGTCGCGCGATGCTCCGCGCCGCGCCTCGGCCACAGAGTCGTCGTCTTTGGCGGCGCGGGTTTCAAACGTGGCTGTCGTGTCTGTCCCACTCCCCTATCGCATAGCAACGTTTTTTTTCACCCGCGCGCAGCAGCAGCAGCATCCGTGCGTGTGTGTGTGAGTCACCCGGGGGAATGACACATCTGGACGCATAAATCAGCCGATCAGCCCGGCGGCAGCCAGAGCGCTTTCAGATCACGCATGCACTGAGGAGGAGCAGGGCAGGCAGCATCTGCATAATCAAGACGAATCGTCTTATTGAGAGTAAATCACGAGAAACGGGGCAGATATTTGGTCCCGAGTTCGATCGTCCTTAATCTGTCATCGACACTACCGAGCCTTACGGGATTATTGGATTAGTATTGATGATCTCTACTTTTCTCTCTCTCCCTCTCCCAATTTCTGTCTCTCTCGCACACACACATGACGCATGTGACGTCCCATGCCAAAACATGTCATGCTTCGGCCCGTTTGGCCATTATATATTCGTTCGCGCAGCAAATCGAATTGATTTCAGTAACAGTGAGAGAGAGAGAGAGCGCGCGCGACATATGCGGAGAGAGAGGTGGCGAGAGGAAAGGCTGATTGGAGTGATGGCCCTCGAGGCACGTCACCTCTTGACACGCTCGCGTTGAGCGTCGTGAAGGTTCAGTAAAGGACAAGTAGAACACAGCTGCTTTAGCTAAGCTCACGGCCCGGCGCCTTTATGGTGCGATTTAATGAGTCAATAAACACGCTCTCTCTTTCTTTTTCGATCCCTCTCTTTCTCTTTCTCTCTCTCTCTTGCACTCTGTACCTCACTCTCTCTCATTCTCAGGTCGCGGAACTCCGACGCAATGGATGCGTCTGACATTTTCTGATGACTCGCCGCGGCGGTGCGGCCGAAGAGGTTTGCCTGTTTTACAGTTTGACTTCATTAACACGTAATATGGCACCGTGCGGCTTGATCTAGTGCCCCAATCTCCGTTGCGCCAAGTGTTTTAAGGGTGGGGTTCCCAGCCGCATCATCGCACGGCGTTGATTCGGGGCCCAACTGTGCGCAGCGGCGTGCCTCACAGGAGCTGCTGTTCGGCAAACGATCAAACGACTCGCATAGCGCTCGCCGGGCCGATGCGTCGCGGGCATACTTTCGGCCCCTGACTAATTTGCTCTCGCAGTAGTCTCGCGAACTAGTTTTGAGAACCTGTTACTGGTTTTCAAAGGCAGCAGGTGACCCTTTCACTCAAACGGTCGTGGCAGCTTTGCTCACAACTCAACATTTTTTCATACCTGCTGCACCGCGGACTAATTTTTGATTTTTCAGAAAGCTGAAAAAAGATGTAGAGTCCACATAAAGAATGTCGAAGAATGTCAATAACATTTGGCGTTGGCCTTACTTCATGTATCTCATACCGCGCCGCATACGGATTCCCGATTTGCGATGGTCTTCGACTCGCCCGCCAGGCAGTAAGGCCGCCGGGGAGGTAGGCCGTTCCGTCGCGCACGCCTGCCTGGCGCGGTGGCCTATTCTCGCTCGTCAGGCGCGCTAGGTCGCCTGTGAGGTAGGCCGTCCCGTCGCGCACGCCTGC